TGAACGCAATCATCCATATCGTGTTTCCAGCGGGCACTTACGACTCGAAAAGATTCACGTTTCAACCCTTCATGTCAGCCAGGTTGCCTGGCCCCGTCCAACGCAGCACTACCGCTGGCCTAGGAGGTGCAGCGCTCCCTGAGCCGAGTTTGTGCAGGCCCCTACTGAGCATCGTTTGGGAGACTTTGCGGCGTGGGTCTGGACTCGGGCCTTGGCTTGTGACATTCCAACCTTGATGCAGCTGTTGCATTTCAACCTTGAACGCGTTCTTCCTCTGAGTGGCAAGTGTGGCACTCGCAGACAAAGCCTGGCTCAGACATGTGCGACACTATTCTTCGAGCTTGCACTTGCGCGACTTCGGCAAGCACATTCTCAACCAGTTCTTCAAGCGTTGATGCCTTCCAGAACATATGGGCGACGAGTCCAATCCAGCAGCTCCAGCATCCCTGAGGACCCGCGCAGATTTGATCCCCAGGCCACCCCCGCGCATCATCGTGATCCGTTTTCCGAGCCGCGTCCAGCCGTGGCGACGGCACACAGAGCGAGGACAAGAGGAGGGAGGACGAGGCCCCTCTGCGCCTTCCCTTCCTTCTCCGCCCTCACGCTGTGAAGTGCCAGGCTCGCTCTGCGCAGCACAGAGTGGACCAGCTGAAGTCTCGCAAATGACAGGCGGAAGACGTCCTGATCCCCCCTCGAAACCATGTCACAAGAGTGCCCTCCCAAGCCCTCCGTCGGCCTCTTGCGCTCTCGGGGCCGACGATAAGGTGGGACTGAGCAGGAGGAGGAGGAGGTAGGGCATCAGCTCACGCACCTCTCTTCATCTGGCACCTCTCGGCGCCCATGCATCAAGGAGTGTGCCCAGCGGCAGGACGGCGGAGCCGGGCCAGCAGACTTCGTGCCCACCCCATGTCGCCCGACCTGGCCCTCCCTCCCGCCCACCCCCCGAGACCCTCTCGTGCCTGCCCGCATCACTGCGCCCCATGCCACCACTGCTTCGCCCCGACCTCTGGCAGCGCCGTGGCCCACGCAGTGGCTCACAAGTCCAGATGCTGGACCGTCTCGCGGAGCTTCGAGACCGGAGAAGACACCCTCCTAATTGTCCAGTTTCTTCGATCTCCCGCGTTGCCTCATGGCTCATGGGGGGGGGGGCGATACATGGTGAGGGGGATGAAACGTACACACCCCGTGCCCGTATCGGGGCCTTTGGGGGGCACTTGAGGTGGGGTGCGCCTTTCTTAACCCCCATATTTTATCGCTCCCCCCATTTACAGTCAGCCCGTATGACATGGATGCGCGGTGAGGATGCAGGGCCCTGGAAGGCCATGCCGACACTTTGCGAGCGGGCCATGCCGACACGTTGCCAGCGAAAGCGGCTAAAGATGGACCGAAGGGGAAGGTTGCAAGGACAACCTTAGAAAGTCGCTCATCCTTACTATGCGAGTTGACGGTACGCAACGCCCGACGATCCTCTCTCACCCCTTGAGCGGGGACCGACCGTCCCCGGCATTCCTATAGGCCTACCACGGTATGTTCACAAAAGAAGATAATGTTCCAATCGCCAAAACAGTGCTCTTAGAACATAACGCCGATGCATTAAAACAAGACGGTCTCAGCCAGAAATGTTCTGAGAACATCTCGTGCAGACCACAAGAGGCTCTTAGAACGCTCAGTGGTGGGCCTATGGGCCAGCGAGGGCGCTTCGCCACTGCTCTCACCCCCCTCCCCAATCAATACTGAGGGTGACCAAAATTAATATTGAGGGTGCGGCACTGGAGAGGGCATGAGTGGACAGAACTATTCGAACCCCCCAACCACCACCCATGCTAGAGTCTGCATGGATCTCGGGGGCCGGGGGGGGTGATGAGTATCCCCCCTCACGTGTGCGAGGGCTCGAACGCTTTTTGCCCGTGCACTGCCTCTCGCCCCCCCCCCTCTCCCCCCCCCGCGGGCCCCATCTCTGGCGGCGGGGCGCTGCAGGGGCGCCCCGGCCCGCACGCAGCGGTGGAGGGCGGCGGCCGGCGCGCGGCGGGCGGCTGCACGGGCCGCCCCTGCCGCGCGGGAGGGCCGAAGGGGCAGAGCGCCGCGCGGGGAGGGCCGACGGGGCCCCCCCTCGGGGGGGCCTCGGGGGGCCCCTCGGAGGTCGGGGGCCTCGAGGGAGGCCCGCGGGGCGCCCCCGAGGTGTGCGGGGCCTGCGTGCTCGGAGCCTGCGGTCGCTCGGCATCTCCAAGGCCACGCTGGCTGACGGGCGAACATCCATTCGGGGATGGACAGACCCCCCTTTAGCAAAACGTGGTTTAGTGAAAACGACCTGAGGCCCAAACCTGGCGGGCGCAAGCCTGGAAAAGAACGGCCGCGGCGCCATCTCGAGAACCGAAAACGGACAATCCACTAATCGACGTGTCACTGTTGGGGGTTCTGTCCGCCCCCGATCCATACCCAGGGGGGGGGGGGACGGAGAGGGGGCTGCTGGTGCGTGTTGTCGGAGGGGGGTCCCCGCTCGACGGTGAGCCTCTCCCCTGGGGCCCGACAACCCCCGCGGCCATGCCCACAGCTGGTCCTCCTCCCCCTCGGGCCCGCCGATTGGGTATGGGCGTGTGCTGTTCTGTCGTCGTCAGCGGCGATGAGAACACACTGGAAGAACACGAAAACAGCGCTTTCCTGCAATGGAGTCGGCCACGAAACACCTCCACCTACAGTCCCAAAAACTGCATCGCCCTTGCCTGCATCGCCGTCAGCGCGTCTACGGAGCATGCACGATTCGGTGGCAACTCACGGGAGCCTTCCAGGCCATCTTGCTGGCTCTTGCGAGCCGGCGCTGGCCGACGCTAATCGACGCTCGTCGGCGCTGGATCGTCGCTGAATTGGCGCTGTCTCATCCACCACCAGCCGCAAGCGCACGCCAATGCACTCCCGAGAGACTAAACTACGAGGACACTCAAGGCAACCACGAGTTGCTCTCGAATGAATGGGTCAAAATCGGATCGAATCCGCCGCGCCATGATACACCGACTACGCCTTGCAGACATCGGGCCGCATCGGATCGTGGGAATGTCGGAATCGAATCGGATCGAGCCCGCTGGGGTCACCATGGAACCGCATCGATCGGAGGGGGGAAGGGAGGGAGGGAGGTAACGAGCGAGAGGGGATGCACAGCGTCCCATGATCGAAGCGAGAAGGAGGGAGGAGGTGATGGAGGAGGAGGATGAGGAGGACGAGAAGGACGAGAAGGACGAAGAGGGGAAGGACGAGGAGGAGGACGAGGAGTAGAAGGACGAGGAGGAGGACGAGGAGGAGGAGGACGAGGAGAACCAGGAGTAGGAGGAGGAGGAGGAGGACGAGGAGGACAAGGGAGTAGGAGAAGTGGATGTTCACTGACTGATTTCAGAACCAGTCTAGGACTGGGATCTCAGGTTTGTGGGGGCGGACGGTCAGCAAGTAGACTCGTGCTCGCTCCCCCAGAAAAAAGCCCAGATCTTTACAGACGGGAGTTGCATAGACACCGCGGACCCGTCCGAAGCGAGACCAGGACTGGCAGCCTCGCACCTTCACCACTCCCCCTGATGAGTTCCCTCATCTAACCTCGGCTGATGCAGAACATGCTGCCGTGTCTCTTGCAATGTTGAAGCCCGAGGCTCCCGAAACGATTGAACTCTTTCCAACACCATCTTGTGGTGTTGGGCCCTCGTTTTCAATCCGCAGCGCCCCGCGTCCTGCTCTCCTCCAACTCCTCCTCATCCCTCTCCTGCTGCCTCTGCCCTCCACATGTCCCTCCGCGTGTTCTGTCATCCGCATGTCTCTGTTTCGGCAGACCCCTCACACGCTTCGTGCCCCCTCATGGAGCTCCACCGAAGGCCCCGGTGGCAAGGTCCGCATGCGTACCCATGCATGTTCCGGGATGCTCCCTCATACGTTTCGGGGCCCTATAGGGAGCTCTTCCGAAGACCTCAATGGCAGGGTCCACATGCGTGCCGACGCCCATTTCGGCACACCCCCTCACACGCTTCGTCACCCCGCAGGGAGCTCCACACCGAAGGCCCCGGTGGCCGGGTCCGCATGCGTGCCCGCTCAGCTCCCGGCACACGCCCTCACGAGCTCCCTGTCCACAGGGAGCTCCACAGAAGATCAGACCCCAGCGGCAACGCCCGCAACGAGTGCCCGAGCAGCCTTGTCCCGTGGCGCTGCGCAGTCTTGCCTGCGCCCTCTCGCCAGAGTCGGCGAGGTCGAGCGAGGGCGGCGCACCCCGCGAGTGGGAGATGGCTGTCCGAAGCTGGAGATGGTGCTGCGGGCACCCGTCTGGTCTCCCACTGTTCCGTCCGTGGACGTGGCGTCGAGGGTGGCACTCGACGCAGGATCATCTCGGCCGTGCTGGGGTGTCTGCAGTTGCCGCGATGCGTGCTTCGTCGGGGACGAGTTGGCGCCGTGCTTCGTGGTAGAGGCTACCTCCCCTCATCCCGCCACCCTCCCTCCCCAGTCCCTTCCTCCCTCCCTCCCTCCCTCCTCCCGCCCCTTCCCCCCGACCCCCCCTCCACACACACACACACACACACACACACACACACACACACACACACACGCACACACACACACACACACACACGCACACACACATACACACACGCACACACACACACACACACACACACACACACACACACACACGCACACACACACACACACACACACACACACACGCACCTCCCCGCGGGAAAGCCTCACTCTCCCTGCGCGCGCGAGCGCCTTCCGTTCGCTAGGTGGGTACGCGCTCCAGCCCCGACACCATGCTGCGCCACCACTGACTCTCATGGTACGGGAGGGGGCTGGGACTGGGCGGGGCCCGCTGGCTCGTCAGACCTGGCTGACCTGACCCCCCCCCATCACTCGGCGGCGAGCGAGGGGGGGAGGTGGGAGGGGGAAGGCCTTCTCAGAAGGCGGCAAAACTTCTCAGATGCCCCCGCGCCTTCCGAGAAGTTCGCTGTGCCGTGTGGGGAGTCTTCAAAAAAACCTTCTCGGAGGGCTGGGGGACTTCCGAGCCTTCCGAGGAGGCTCGCCCCTTCTCGCTTCCACCCTGGGCTCGCCGCCGAATCACCCCCTCGCCCCCCCCCATCCGGCAGAGGGAATTGGTGGACACTCTCCCGCCCCCAAAGACTCAAAGTTGGCACGCGCCAGGAAGACTGCGGTCCAAATGCAGCTCGTCCAACCCACCGCCAGCACCGACCAGCGGGGCGGCACGGACGGATGCGCGTGGCACGCGGTGCTCGCCACCTTCTCCCGAGGCCCGCCGCTCCCCCACTCCTGCTCCCACGGACGGCGCCACCTGCCGTCTCGCCGCCCGCGCGCGGGGGTGATCGGCGGGGGGGGGGCGGGGGCGGGCGCGCCCGGCCCTCTGCGGTGGCGAGCGCGAGCGGAAGGGGGGAGGAGACAGGGAGGGGAAAGGGGAGGGAGGAGGAGGAGGAAGAGGAGGAGGAGGAAGAGGAGGACGACGATGACGACGACGACGACGACGACGACGACCTACTAGCGAAGGTTACACCCTTTCTTCCCGACCCAACTCCCCGCACCGCCTCACAGCTCAGAGCAGTAGCAACAGGAGGGCTGCGACGAATACGAAGAACAATAACTATCAGCGGCAGCAGCAGGAGGGGAGGAGGAACAGCGGGGTCAGCCTCAGCCCTCTGTCCAGGGACAGCTGGCACGGAGATCGACGAGGGCGATATCGGGACCTCCTGTACAGGGACCGACGAAGGTCAGGCCACACGACAGGCTCCTGCTGTGTGGAGGACGCCTGGACCCCGTTCTCAGCGCGAGGGTCTATGCGAGCGGTGATACGTCGTCCCCTGAGTGAGTGCACGACCGTTGGAGGGGGGGTTATCGGTGCCGTCGGAGTCGCCCGCCAGCGGTGACCCTCAAGACCCTGCTCGCCACGTCATACCGCCGTGGAGAGGGCCAACGAGGCCGTCGGGGGCTTCTGGAAACCTCCAAGCGCTTGAATTACCCTGGCGAAGGACCCAATTGTACGCAAGTGTGCGTACCGCAAAGCATTTGGGACGAAAGAAGGATCTCTGTATAGCCACAAAGCGTGTCAGGAGTGTGGCAAAATGAGCGGGCAACCGCAGATGGACGCACCCACTTGGGGCACGAAAGGTGAGGGGTGCGCCGAAATTGGGAGAACCGCTCTGGGCGCACCCACTGGGGCCTCAGACGGGGTTCGCCAAGGGGCCTCGAAACGTGTAGGAGTGTGCCGAAATGGATGCACTGCCGCCATGCGGACGCTGCCACTGGGGCCTTCGGCAGAGCTCCCTAGGGGCCCACGAAACGTGTGAAGGGTGTGCCGAAATGGGTGCGGTGGCGCCATGCGGACGCTGCAACTGGGACCTCAGATGGAGCTCCCTGTGGGGCCACGAAACGTGCGAGGGTGTGCCGAAATTGGCGTTTTGTTGACATGCGGACGCTGCTACTGGGGCATTTAGCGAAGCTCCCGGCAGGGCCCCGAAACGTGTGAGCGATGTCCCGAAATGGGTACGGTGCCGCCATGCGGACGCTGTCACTGGGGCCGTCGGTGGAGCTCCCTATGGGGCCACAAAAGCGAGAAGGGTATGCCAAGATCTATGCGGTGTCGCCATTCGGACGCTGCCACTGCGGCGTTCGGCGCAGCTCCCTATGGGGACACGAAGCGTGTGAGGGGTGCGCCGAAATATTTGTGATACCGCCATGCGGGCGCTGCCACTGGGGTCTTCGACAGAGCTCTCTATGGGCCAACGTAACGTTTCGAGCATGTACCGACATGGATGCGGTGGCGCCATGCGGACGCTGCCACTGGGGCCTCAGATGCAGCTCCGTATGTGGGCCACGAGACGTTTAAGGGATGTGCCGAGATTGGCGCGGGAGCCACAACACGTGTGAGGGAGGAGGTGGCAGCGGGAGGGAGAAGTGGACGTTGGGCGCTGTCCCTTCAAAACGAGGACTCAACACCACAGGATGGTTGGGAACGAGGACCCAACACCACAGGATGCACAGATGGTAGGTTGATGCGACGCGGGGCCTTGCAGAGTGCGCGCTCCTTTTGCGGCTGAGCAGGTGGGTGGCGCATCGACTCTAAGTTTCACCACTTACGCCACCATCCTGTAGAGCCCCCGAACTGGAAAAAGTCAAGGTCGAAGATGGTTGCCTCTGACTGCAGCAGCCCCAGGAGCGAGAAGGGAGGAGGGAGGACGCGGGGCGGGGCGCTCTCTTCAAAGGAGAATGCCAAGCAAAACATCATTAACTCTTATTCTCGATCGTCGGCGAGGCCGAGGAGGTCGGTGGTGGTGGATACCTGTTTTGTCGAATGATCGGTCCATCTTCTTTTGCAGAACCTACGGAAGGTACGCGCAGCACGCCACGCAGGGCCTCGCGAGTGACTGTAGAGGGCTGCGCGGGACAGGGTCAATCATCCGCTCGCGGCCCGAAAGCCTCCGACAGGGACCGCACCCCGCCACGGCAGCGGTCCTTCCTGATATCTCCGCAGGCGCTTACTCAGAACGGCTCCTCTCGCTTCTTGGCTGCTGCTTTCCCTGCAAAATCGGTAGCACCATACGACGTCGAGGATGCGTGGTCGAAGGGAAGGGGGGAGGGCGCAGCCGCAGACGAATTCCGTGGTCCGCGCCGCCTGGCCCATCATCGTGAAACCATCACCATGGCACTGGGGAAACCAAAAAGGTACCGATACCGCAACTCCCCGGGCCTCTCCCGGGGTGCGTGCTGACAGGAGTTTCGAGGCGAATCCAGCGGTGGCGACGAGGGCCTCCCAGGAGGCCGAAAAAGGAGAACACGAGAAGGGCAGCGGTGTGGGCACCGCTCCCTCCTCTGAGGCATAGCTCCGAGTGGTTATTCGGCACGGTGTCCTCCGTCGCTCCAGCACAACGCGTCGTACCTGCAGCCGATCGCGAGCCGCGCTGGGGCCCCGGCGTGCCTCTCCCGACGCCGCGCCAACGTCGCCCGAATCGCCGCCCTCGCCCGCCGCCGCCGCCGTCCTGGGGCTGGGGCAGGGCTGCAACGCGGACATCCCATGGCACCTCCTCACCCGCCACCTCCTCCTCCACCTCCTCCTCTTCTTCTGCCACCTCCTCCGCCACCTCCGCCTCCTCCTCCTCCTCATCGTCGTTGCCATCATAGCCATAATGATCAGCTGCATCATCATCCTCGTCATCAGCACCATCTTAGTTACTATTGTCATCACAACCACCACAACCTCCGCCTCCTCCTCTTCCTCCTCCTCCTCCTCCTCCTCCTCATCATCATCACCCCATCGCCCGCATTGTCATCGCCACCGCCCTCATCACAAGCAACGTCGACCACACCATTGCCACCAACAACCACATCATTACCACCAGCATCACCCTCACCAGCTCCATAAACATCATCACAATCATCAGCACTGCCAGCATCGTCGTCATGACTACCATCCTTAGTTTTGACCTTGTCCTCGTCCGCATCGGGTTCTTCGTGCTCCTCCGCATCATCATCATCATCAGCATCACCATGATAAGCAGCAGCAGCGAAACCGTAATCGCCGTCGTCAACATCATAGTCGTCATCACAATCATCAGCAGCAGCATCATCATCATCAGCATCACCATCACCATCACCATTATTCCCACCATCAGCATTATCATCATCACCATCATCATCATCGTCATCGTCATCGTCATCAGCATGAGCATCTTCGTCATGATCATCACCACCACCACAACCACCATCATCGTCATCATAGCAAAACCACCATCCACAACCACCACCACCCCCACCCCCACGATTACCATCATCATCACCCACACTCAAACCCATCCACCATCCATCCATCCATCCACCCACCCACCACTACCACAATCATCATCAGCATCATCGTCGTCATCGTCGTCATCATCGAAATCAAGAACAACATCAACTTCATCAACAACAACATTATCATCATCATCATCATCATCATCATCATGATCACCAGCATCATCACCATCATCAACAACGTGATCATTATCATCATTACGATCGTGATCATCGTCCTTTTCATCGCCGTCGTCGGTATCATCGTCGCCACCATCATTATCATCATCATCAGCATCATCATCATCATGATCGTCATGATCGTCATCATCATCATCGTCATCCTAGTGATCGTCATCGACAAAAATATCAAAACAATCACAACCATCAAACTCAACAGCACAATCATCATCATCGTCATCAGCATCATCATCAGTATCATCATCATCATCATCATCATCATCATCATCATCATCATCATAATCATCATCATCCTCACCATCATCATCATCATCATTATCATCATCACCAGCATCATCGTCATCAATAGCATCATCGTCATCATCGTCATTAGTGTCAGTAGCAGCAGCATATCAATCGCCATCATCAATATTATCATCATGTGCATTTTCAGTATCGTCACAATCATCGTCATCATCATCATGATCGCCAGCATCATCATGATCATGATCACCACCCTCATCACCATCATCGTCATCATCAGCATCATCATCATCAACATCATCGTGGTGATCATCATCTCATCATCGCCACAATGAGCAAGAGCAGCATCATGGTCATCGTGGTCATCATCAAAGCCATAATCATCAGCTGAAGCATCATCCTCGTCATCAGCATCATCGCCTCATTCACTAAAGTCATCACCACCACCACCACAACCTCCTCCTCCTCCTCCTCTTCATCATCACCATCATCATTATTATCCCATCGCCCTGATCGGCATCGCCATCACCCTCATCACCAGCACCGTCCCTCTCACCATCGTCACCATCAACCACATCATCACCACCCCCATCACCCTCACCAGCTCCATAAACATCATCACAATCATCAGTACTGCCAGCTTCGTCGTCATTACTACCACCCTTAGTTTTGACCTTGCCCTCGTCCGCATCCGGTTCTTCGTGCCCCTCCTCCTCCTTCTCAGCATCAGCAGCAGCAGGAAAACTAGGTATGAACGGCTTCGTCATCATCATAGCCATAATCGTCATCATCATCATCATCATCATCATCAGCATCATCATCATCGTCATCGTCATCATCATCATCATCGTCATCGGCATCAGCTTTTCCATCTTCGTTATTGTCGTCACCAGCACCATCACAACCACCATCATCGTCATCACCACCAAAACCACCAGACACCACCACCATCACCATCACCATCATGATCACCCACCCACCCACCCACCCACCGACACACCCACCCAGCACTGTCACGACCATCATCAGCATCATCGCCGTCATCGTCGTCACCATCATCATCATCATCATCAGCATCATCATCATCATCATCATCATAATCATAATCATAATCATAATCAGCATCGTCGTGGGCATCATCATACTCATCATCATCAGCATCACCAGCATCATCATCAACATCATCTTCGTCATCATCATCAATGTCATCACCATTACAAACATTGGCATCACCATTGTCGTCGTCAACATCATTGTCATCATCATCATCATCACCATCATCATCATCGTCTGCATCATCACCATCATCGCCATCAACATCATCATCACCGTGATCATCGCCATCGTCATCGACACATTCATAGTCATAATCAGCATAATAATCAGCATCATCATCATCAGAAGCCGCAGCATCGCTAACACCATCACCATCGACAGCAACGTCATCATCATCATCCTCATCATCATCATCATCATCATCATCATCATCATCATCAGCATCGGCATCCTCATCAGCAGCAGCAGCATCATGATTGTCAGCATCGTCATGATGACTATCACGACGCTCACCATCATCATCGTCATCATCATCAACACCATCATCATCCCCCTCCCCCCCTCCCACCACACACACACACACACACGTTCTCCCCGCACCGAAGGCAGCAGGCAGTGGGAGCGGGCAGGCGGACTGGGAGCGGGAAGGGCAGGGAGAAGAGGAGTGGGTAGTGTAGGGGGTGAAAGGAACAGGGGCGGAGCGGTCGAATCGAAGGCGAGGGGGGAAGTGGAAAGGGGGAAGGGGGCGGAAGGGGGAGGGGTGGGCGGGGAAGAGAGAAGGGTAGGGGGAAAGAAGGAGAAGGAGAGGGAGAAGGGAAGAGAGTTAGAGAGGAAGGACGGAGAACTGGTGGGGGGACGGGGAGGAGCAAAGATAGGGAGAGTGGGAGGTGCTGGGAGATGGGGAGAGGTGGAGCATAACGATTGCAGCGAAGGAACAAAGAGGGCACGAGGGCACCTGCAAACTGATTATGCAGTGCGTACTGGGCCGACCTTGCTCTGCGCACGGCGTCCTCGGCGGCGCAGCAGCCCTGGCAGAAGCGTCCGCGCCAACGACCGCCTGCTTCGGCACCGAGGCCTCCTCGCTCACATCGCTGGGCGTGAGACACATCCTCGTCGAGGGCGAGGGGGCAGCGGTGCCATCCCTGGACGAGGGCACCTTGCCGAACGTAAACCAACTCGCTGGGCTTCGCGACGAGCCGCGTGTTCATCAAGTCTTGCGTTTTTTTCGTTTGACTATCGCGCCGCACAGGGGCGTGTGGTCCAGCTTGGAAAGAGCGTCGAAGAGGTTGTGCACGGCACTCGGAAAGCCGTAGATGCTCACCACATCGCACCTCCAGGCTGCGAACAGTGCTGCCCGAAGGGCACGTTGTATCTCCAGGTCTAGGGGCCCTGGAGCCCCCAATGTCCTGAGACCCCGCGAGCGCGTCCATTTGAACTCGTCAAGAACACGTTCCCATCGAGGATCGCCACAGAGCATGCGGTTAGCATTCTCGGCAGTGGAGTTGCTGCACAGGAAAGCGTCACAGAGCTCGCTGCTCTCCTGAGGAGGGAAGGGAAGAAGACTATACAAGAACACGACTCGGTTAGTGACCATGAGCAAACGAAGGGGGACTGGAGTAGGGCGTCCAGGACCCGTTTCGGAGGCTTGGAGGTTACGTATTTCGGTTTCAACAATTCCCGGGATGGTTCATGCAGCCGTCCAGCGACCGCCAAGATGGCCCAGAACAGCCCAAGACGCTAAAAGACTGTGCCAGGGCGGCCACAAAGGGAGCACAATATTCCTCAAGGGACGCTCCAACAGCAGGAGAAGCTCCAAAACCTTCCAAGTCAGCGACCATGCTCGACACGCCGTCGCCTCTCCTATGCACTTCCTGGCTGGGAGGTGCTGACTTCTCGCAGCCCCTGCCGTGCCACCAAGCTCGACAAGTCCTCCCTCCAGCCGAGGTCGAGAGGCCGCCAGACATCACGACCAAGGCCCTCGACACCATCTTTGGGCGGCACGCCTCGAGCCGCACCGATCGAGCGGGCCCTGGGGCCTGGGGTGGGGCAGACACGCGCGCCCCCCCCTCTTGCTGCACGAGGGGCGGCTGCTGAGGCTCTTCCGCGGTCTCCTCCAGCAGCACCGCGGTGACGTTGGGGAGGTCGAGGGGCGATGGCCGGGCCGCTGCTGGCGCCGCTGCGGCCGTGCGACCGATGAGCTGCTCCCGGGAGGCTCCCACTCCGCCCAGCGGCGCCCGGCCCTCTGCCACTGCCCCCCTCCCCCCCGCCCGCACCCCAGGGGGAGGGGCGGGGGGGGGGGCAGGGAAGTGGGCGGGGGGCCCGAGGGAACCCAGGAGCCCAGAGTCTGGGAGGCTCGACAGCGCGAGGGGAGGGAGGGCAGGAGGGAGATGGCCTGAGGAGCCTGAAGACGCGGGGAAGGGAGATGAGGAGGAGGAGGAGGAGGAGGAGGAGGAGAAAAGGAGAGGAAGAGGTTTCTCGCCCTGCCCGCCCCTCCTCCATACTCGACTCGAGGAGGGGAAGGGGGGGGGGCACCCGGGCGCTGCTGGGGGGGGGGGGGGGCACAAGGCGTGGGGGGGGGGGGGGGGCACAAGGCGTGGGGGGGGGGGGGGGGGGGGGGGAATGTCCACCTTTCGTGCACCTTCGGGACCTCTTTTGGGCCGCTGTAGATCCTCTTTCCTGCAACTCTCGGCCCCGTGCCATCAATCGCCCCCCCATTACGAAACGCCCGACAGACGGGAGGGCCCAAGCCCTCCGGCTTGGCCCAGGTCTGGCAGCAGGACGGACAAGAAACCGCCTGTGACGCCAGGCCAATATGAAAGATCGTGTCGAGAGCCTCGGGAACTGGATCCGGGGAGCGGAGAGGAGATCCTGAATCGAATGCCACACGCGGACAAAAGTGTTCCTCACAAGCAGGTGGAGGAGGAGAAGGAGGACGAGGAGGGAGAAGGAGAAGGATGAAGAGGAGGAGGAGGAGGAGGAGGAGGAGGAGGCGAGTAGAAAGGGGAGAACGCGGAGGAGCGGGGGGGGCAGGAGGACGAGGAGGAGGACGACGGGGATGAGGGGGTCGAGGAGGGGCATGAGAAGGAGGAGGAGACTAGGAGGAGGATGAAGAGGAGAAGGAGGAGGAGGACAAGACAAGACATGAATCTGACCCAACGTGTCGTCGCTGACTAGGATGCTACCCTGCCTCAGCAGAGTGTACTATGTCATGTCAGTCTGGCTCTGGGTCTATCGAGGGACGCACCTACACTCGCGCAGGTGAACAGAAGGAGGAGGAGAAGAAGGAGGGGAAGACTAGGAGAAGGAAGAGGAGGTGGAGAAGGAAAAGGAGGAGGAGGAAGAAAGAAGGAGGAGGATATCGAGGAGGAGGAGGAGGAGGAGGAGGAGGAGGAGGAGGAGGATCGCACGCCACCGAGGGGGGGGGAAGAGAAAAAATCCGACAGTCAGCTGAAACAAAACGCCCGAGGGGGGCCCATCGGAGTGGACCTTTTTGTCACCCTGACAGGAAGGCCAAAGACCTGTCAGGGGCCAGCGACAAGGCCCCCAGGGCAACAACAGCTAGCCGTCTTCAAACGCCAAGTCTGCGGCAACCCTTTTGCTTTTCCCGCAGCCTGGCCCCAAGCACTCGGGCTTCAGTTTCATTCAAACCGAACGCCTGCAGACAGTCTGCCGAGCAGATTGGGTCAGGTACAAATCCAGGGACCACCGCACTTCGCTGGCCCTTTCGCTGGACCCCTGGGCCGCCGTCCAAACCCCCAAAGACCTCCCGAGCCCGCTCCCCAGGCGACTTCCAGGGGCCAAGCTTAAAGGCGCGATTGGGATGTTTCGACCTTAAAACAGCGCGGGTGTTTTTGCGGCCAGGGTCTATCAGACTCGCTTGGGCCCCAGGGCAGACCGACTTGAGGCCTCTAGCTCCGACCGAGACCGTCGCATACCCTCCACACGTGGAGCAAAAAAATATTGGAGCGAGATCCTCACCGTGCAGCGGGAACTCCAACAGCTGGTGGCCGCCCTGCTTCCAGGGGGCCTGGTGAGCATCCCTGGCCAGGACGGCCAGGTCGGGGCCCAGGGGCACCTCAGGCAGGTCCTGGGAGGGGTCCGCTGGGGCAGGAGGGGGAGCAGCAGCAGCAGCAGATCGTCCCTCCGCCGCCTCCCTCCTCCTGAGCTCCTCCAGGTCCTCCTCCAGGCCTTCGCCGCCCTCGAGCGAAATGAGGGTGACCCCCTGGGCGCCCACATTATCAAACACGCCTAGGTCGGAATAATGAACCTCGGCCCTGGTAATGAAAGAGGTGACCTGACGGGCCATAAACAGCATGCCTTTGACCACTAGCATATCCTGAGGGTCTTGCCTGCTGAGATCGGCGCCTTGCTTGGCCAAACGGTCGGCGGCGTCGTTGCCCGTTTTTTCAAACAGGCTGATCTTACCTTCCCGAACGTCCTCCATGCTCGAATGGGCCTTGACCTTGCAGCAGCTCACCCCAGACAAATCGTTTTTAGCATACAGCTCCTTCCACAGATGCATACGTGTGTTGGCTGGACTCTCGGCCCAGCTTCTATGGCGACAGCACTCGAGAGTTCCTTTGCAGTCAGAGTAAAGCGTGAACGTGCCAATTAAAAAACTCGTGGCCATGAAAACTGCAAAATCTTCTCCATCTCGGGCGACTTGGTCAGGCAGAGTGGCTGGCGGGACGGCTCCAAACCAGCCCGTGATCCAGCGGCGCTCGCTGTCATATATGGCAACTCCCCAGCCTGCCGAACGCAAAGCCGGGAACATTCCATCGTGACCCGAGCCGTCACAGAAGACGTGAGCGTTATCCACCGCCAAACACGCACCCACTCCTTCAGCCCTGAACTCCCACGCTGGGTCCCATGGCCTCCGCGCGAGCAGCTGACAGGGGTCAGGGAGGATGCCTCGGGCGAATCGCTCTTGCAGTTCAACTGGGCAGCGAGCAAGACGAGCAGCCGCTGCCTGGAGCTCAGGCGGGAGATGGTCTCGCCGCCAAGCTGCACGGGCAGGGCACTCGAAGTGCCTGTGAAAAAGGGTGCCTCTGGCCCCGTGACAGATGAGGCAGTCTGCCTCGAGCTGGGGGTCGTGCTGGTGAAGCCTGTGCTGGCACCAGTGCGAGCCCATAACAAGGCCTCTCAAGGTCCTCTGCTCCCGCGCCCCCCAAGCTCCACCCGTGCCCGACTCCGCCCCGTCATCGTCGTCTTGCTGCCGTCTGCAGTGCAGCCTCTCGTTGAGGGGGCGCCAAAAAAATCCGCCTAACCAACCCTTGCCTCCGCTGATTTTGCTGAGGCCTCGGTGATCAGACAGGCGACGTGCAGCGAAGCGAGCGCGGCGAGCAACGAAGGCAGGCGAGACAGAGGCCAGGGACCAAACCTGCCCTGAGGCCTCGCACAGTGTCCAGGGGTCGGTGAAAGTCAGACCTGCTCGCCCCGCAGTGAGGATTAGAGCCGCCACAGGGTCCTTGACCTGCGCCCATGGGCGGGCTTTTGACGCAATGGCCTGCCCTTGGGTAAAAAGAAATCGAAGCACCGAGGGGGACAGGCGATTGTCTCTGAGGATCTGCACATATGTTTTCAGAGCATCGGCTGTGACCAAGACCAATGGGTCTCGGGTCCAGCCGCCACGCGCGCACATGGAAGCTAAGTCCAGGGAGCAGCCGCGAGGCAACCGCCCTTCAGCGCGCAGCGCAGCTACCCTTAGTTGATTAAGTTTGCCGTCAGGGAGCCCTTGGATGTTGGTTCCCCATAGAGCCTTGGCAGAAACTCCAGCCCGAAAAACAAAGCCCGCTGGGGCTCCAGCGCTTCTGAGGGCCACGATTTTGCCGACCTTGGCTTGGGCGGCGCAGAAACGATCGTGATGTGTGCTTACTCGCCTACGGCTGCCGTCGGTCGCGTCACCTCCTAGATCCCGATGGACCTGGGCGCGCACCGACTCTGGGAGGCCGCAATCGAGGAGGATCCCGTCCGCCACCTCCCCCGAGGAAGAGAGGAGGCCGAGCTTATTACGGGCGATGGGCAGCCCCTTTTTTCTTAGGTCTGCCGTTATCATGCGGAACGCTTGCCCGAGCCCCCTGCGAACTACTTCCTTGCCTCCAACCGCGTGCAGCGAGACATCGTCGATTACATTTTTTTATCCAGACGACTGGGCTGGCCGACGCCGCGCCGCAAACAAGCTAAGAGGAGCAAGCGGGAAAGAGTGGTGGCCCCAGAGCACCCTGCAACTACCGTGCCGTTCGGCACGAGGACTCTGCTGACCGCGCCTTGCCACGAGACCCTACGCGGTGCACGATACATCGAACAGTAGCTCCTCAAGAGGGCTTCCGAAAAACCTGCATGCTTGGCGGCTTCTCGCAACTCCTGGTGCGAGATGTGTTCATAGAACTTGCGCAGATCTATGAAAAGCGCGCAAGAGGCTCAGCCAGGCTGGGAACGGGCATAGGCTGCAAGAGCGTTGTGGACCCAAGCGCTCTTGTCACAGGCTGTGCTGGTGCTCATACCCCAAAAGAAACGCTCATCAGCGCGACGCTCCCACTCAGAGCACAGCCTGTGCCTAATTCTGCTCCAGACCCTCGCAAAGAGGGGAAGCAGCCCTATCGGTCGGACTCCTCCCGAAGGCTTGTCGAGAAAAACGATCAGCTCTAGCCACATCTGATCCACCCTCGGATTCCTTTCCCAATCAGTGAGGATGGCCGCAAAGGCCTCAACAAGCGGCCGAGGGAGCTGCAACAGGAGCCGCGGGCTGAACGCATCCCAACCCAAAGCCGTGGTCGGGCTGAAAGAAGCCGCCGCTTCTAGAACCTGTTCAGCAGAGATCGGTTCGAGCGAATCCTCCACCGTCCAGTCAAGGGGATGCTGCTCCCCCTCGCGCTCGGCGCTGGTCCAAATGGGAATCCACTCCTTGAGGGTCTGCTCTAGAGCGGCCTGGCCTACCAGAATCGAAAGCCGATTCTGCGGGAGGTCCTGGTCATCGGCCCCTTCGAAAACTGGCAGGGGCGGAGGGGCTGGGCCTTTGCTGAACCTGTGAGCGACACGACCACCTCCAGCCACCGACGACTTCGCCCACGACTTCCACTTCTGTCGGCCTTCAGCCGCCTCCTGCTTCACCCTGCTGACGACCTCCGCTTGGACCGCGTCCACTAGCGGCCCTCTGGTCGCGCTGTCGGCCAGCAGCGTAAAAAAGTTAGCCAGGGTAAGT